CACAATTAAGAATATCATCGGTGATAATAGGCAACCAGGCAGCTTGTCTTACTGCTGTATGTGTGGTGAGAGCTGGCTGCTAGCCAAAGTTGGTAGACAGTAATTGACGTCAGTGTTTATGTCCTCAATATTGGTGGTGAGAAAATGAGAACAAAGGCTTTGCGTAGGCGGATACTGATCTGACACAGCCACAAAGAGATGCAAGGTTAACTTTCTGTGAGAAACAACCAATCAAAAGACTGTATTTCCTACTAACAATAATCTACAATAATGTACAATAAAATCTATAAATATGTGTTGATTTTCATTAATAAACTATCTGTTGCCTGACCCTTGTCTTCTGTTGTTACATGTGCACTTCGAACGCCTCGCTGAGTTTTCCGTTATGGATCACCTGACACGTGACATTATCATATAGCCATCTGCTGAATAAGGTTATTAAAGACTTGGGTACTGCATGTCGTAGTGTTGCAGTAGCTTCCAAATTACTTCTTATTCTTTTTCCAAACCAAACAGTACGTTAAAGATAAATTCCTCTAAGTACAACCTATACAATATAACAGTATATGATCATATTTAGATACTTTGATATTGATTATAAGCAATAAATTGTACTCAAAACTTTATCCAGTTAGTAATCCTGTATCATTCACAGCATGTTAAATCAAATGGATTAACACATGCATCTACTAAATATGCTAATTAGGTTATCTAAGTTATTCTACATGCAAAGAAAAGAACAATTAAAGTGCATTAATACCTCTCCTTTTTCTATATAGCTCTCTCTCTCTCTCCCTTTACATTCTCATTAGTCACCCCACACTAACCCTAAGTTATAAGTATTGTGTGTTATCAACTCATTTCAAAAATGTCAATTCTATGTTTTAAACTACTAAGTCAAATGAGGTAAAGTGCAAATTTCTCATGATAAGCATTAATTCTAGTATATTATATATAGATATTTGGGATAATTTTATACTGCTCATATTCCCCCCTACACATTACATACAAAAGTACATATAAGTACACATATACACACATACGCAGTCAAATTCATGTTTCCACTTGTAATTTTTAACCTTTTTACCGTTTTAAAACAATATTGTGCCTTTATTATGTACAATTTTAATTAGAATATCTGAAGAAATGTAAAATAGATACCTATTACTAGGATAGATAATTTAGGTCAAATAAAGCCATAATGAAATATAGTATTCAGATAATAAGGGTCACTGAATTCTAGCCTAAATGGCTGAACTGTCAAAACGCTTGGTCTCGTAACGTGAAGGTCCTGGGTTAATATGAGGACAGATAAATAATGGATTTTCAAGCGTTGATTTGTAAGAATTTGATGTGTTTTTTCGACTTTTTTCACGGATTGATGTCAGTTAGATAATTATTGATAACCAGCACTGGAGTACTGGACGGACGGCTGTTTCATCCGCCTAGTTTGAGACTCATTGACAGTACTTACCCAGGACCTTCCGGTTACAAGGCAAGCTAGCTCGTATACCATTCACCCACGGGGACCCGATTCCTCAATCGCCAGCCCATGAATTCTTACCGCGCGACCACCAACCAACGTCATCGGTGGGAAATCCATCGTCACACTTGACTGGATGGACCTCACTGGTCACGACTTCTCACTTGAACTCCAGGAAACACCACACTAGTGAGTATCAGATTAGTTTTCAAGAGTTTGTTTGTAGGGGTGTGATTTGTTTTTACGAGTTGATCATGGATTGATATCAGTTAGAGAACCAAAAGTGGTTTGATTCTAAGCACGATTCAGTCATCCTTACGATATTTTTCCTTCAGACTTTTGAAAGTAGTTTAAAACTGCACTGAATTACATGACACAGTTCAATGATTAATTGGATGCTTAGAGAAAACAAAATTAATAAAATGGGTCGATTTTCATGTGATTCAACTGACTAGGCTGCAATGTTAATTCAAATACTTGCATTTCTTTCCTCTCACCCACATTATTTATTATTTATTGTCAACTTTATAAAAGTGCACGGTTCTTCTCTCTGTTTGGCACTGCTTCTCAGCATGTATACAGTTTTTTAAAGAAAATCCACTAAATAAAAAGCATTTCATATCAATCTATCATATTTGTACCTTTTTGATGCTGCAAAGTAAAAGTTGTATAAAATATATCACTTGTGAAAAAGCCATACCGACGGACCAGTTGACTTTAGTTTAAAAGTAATCCGTTTTATCACTTGGCTGTTAGCTGGCAGTGAAATTCACCGCTTACGTTTAATCCTGTATGGGACTCATCAATTGAATGATTGTCTTCCCACTGGGATTCGAACCCAGCACCCATTGTTTGAAACACTAAGACGATATCGACTAGGTCATGAGAGCCACCTTTTGTTCTGCAGGGATTAATTGTTATATGGTGAGGTTAGTGTTTTTGAATCTCCCTTTGTTTCATGGTATTGGACCGAAATGCTCGGTTTCAGTGAGAACACCACCGCTTATCGAGGATACGTTTGAGGAGTCCTAGGCGATACGAAAAGCGCATTTTGGATTTTACTGCCACGGAAGGTGGGAGATATGAAAAGGTTTGCTATCTTTGACCACAGATGTTTGCGTTCCATCTCCCGTGTTAAGTGACATATCATGGTCGGTTATAATGAAGTTAGACGTAGAGTATTAAATAAGGAAGGGAAGCTAATGAATGACATTGTTAAAATTCATCGCTTGATTTGACTAGGAAATGTGTTACGTACGCCGAACTATCATTTTCTTCATCGAGCAATATTAGTTGACATTCGATTAGGTTAGAAAAGAGTTGGTGTTGGTCAGATGGAAACATTCAATCAATTCATGAAGTCTTTGATAGTTAGGTTGAGACATATAGGGAGATGTAGATTGGCTTTGTAGGGATGCTCAGGGGTGCCAAGAACCAATTGTTTCAGATTATCACTGATATGACTCGAAAGCCTTCTCAATGAAGCAGATACATTCAATCTTTTTAATCTTCCAGATCTTCAAGCCCCGGTGGGTGCGTACTGATGAAGAGCCCCAAGGTAGGACGAAACATCTGTCTAGTACTCCTAGGTTTTCCAGTGGTTCTCTAACCGATGTCAGCTCACGATGAAATCCTGTAACCTCCCAGATCTATTAGATCTTCATGGAATGTGGCGAAATGAACTGCCGCACTTCTATGCAAACTTCTATGTTGAAACCTAGTCAGACTATCATCCATCGTTAACCAAATAGCATCATGTTAACTACAAAGTATTTTCAAAGTGTTCATACTGGGAGCTGATATATCAATAGTGACCGTGAATTTCTATCCAATCAGATCACAATTAAGACGAAATTCAAAAATAGTAACTTCAGCAAACCACAAATGGAATTTCTGTACACTTACTAATAATACACACCTTTGTAGTGTGATGCCATTACACCCTGAGTTTTAGCAAAGATGAATATCTAGTTCCAATGAAGTTCAGAGAAATTTTTAGTTTGGTTTCACTTTAATGAATACCAGCCACACTGGGGATATTTGTTTTATTGCTTCATGTGTTGCATTTATTCTTTTTCTTAATTATGCGTATTTTATAAATAGTTCCAATGCTTTCTAGCTACTGATTTGAGTCGTAAAACAAATGAGATTTTAACTTAATTCGACTGATAGAATTCAGTCTTCAACAAACAAAGGACCAGACGCTTGACACTAGTTACTTAATACCTGATGTCCAATCAAAGTATCCAATACAGTCTAAGAGAAGGTCAATCGTGAGCCCGAATAGCTCAGTGATAACGTCTGTGACTTGCAGCACTGAGTGACACGGGTTCGGATCTCAGGAGAGACATAATTTCTTTAAAGATTGAAGATACACCTTGCTGATGAGTTCTGTCAAGGCCGAAACGTGTGCCCCAAAGCTTTCTGAAATAAAACCAGATGATTTCATCCAAGGATAATAATAATAATTCGCTTTATTCCAAAAACAGTACTAGTGGTACAGTGTGGAATTTTCAGCACATATCTACAATATTTGCATCTAATTTTATCGAACATTTTAAAAGGAGTATTTCAAAAAATAAATATAAAGACACCAACAGCAAAAGAAAAAAACAGGAAAAACACAATAATTTTTAAAAAATGCGAAAAAATACCAAGAAGTAGAAAGGAAAATAAATAGCATATAATAATAACTCAGTATTGGGTAGTGGAAGCTATGATATGATTATGCATGGCGACAGTAAAGCTGTAGTCATACAAGAAGTTATGAAATGGTATTTAAGAATGTTTATCGCCAAGATGGTCAGTTAATTTGGTTGAAACAAACACTAAACAATCATAAAATAACATTTCAGGGTTGTTGGTTTTTTTTTGTCAGGTCTAATGCAGTGTTTGTGGTGGTAGTGTGAGTAATCCTGAATAATAAAAATTTTTAAGGTGGTGACAGTGGCGTTCACAACCAGTGATTGTCAGTTTAATATTGCCGAAAAGTATAGAAAATAAGAAAAAACAACCACAAAACTAATAATAACATGATGGTTAATGACAGGAAAATTTTATACTACTCATAGTGCTAATATAGTCAGAACCAGTAGATACACAAAAGAAGGAATACAATAAAGAACAAAAAGTAAGCCAATATTAATAATTTAGGTAGCTAAGTATGTTTAAGAAGGAGTTCACTATAGAATACAAAATAAGAGAGAAACAAAAGAGCCTAAAATTATGTTATTAACAACAAAGCAAGTCATAAGTTTCGCGCTTAACATTGTCTCTGTCGTTTAGAACACGGGCCAAGTATGGTATCGTTGAGTTCCTGTACTTGGTTGTACGAGCATAGATTATTTTATATTGATTTCTGGTTCTACTTGATGAGGACGCTTATTGTTGCTTATTGTTTCATGTATTCATGTTTCTATGATCTTTATTTCTCTCGTTATACCATTTTATGATTACAAAAGACTACTCAGTATTAATCATAACAATAATAATGATAATACCTTTTATCTTATTTTAGACAGATAGCAAATGGGGTTGGGTAATCGTTGCATCATCGTTCTTGATACAGTTAATCATTGATGGAACACTCAGTGCATATGGTGTTTTATACTTATCTTTAAGAAATGATGAAGTATTTATCAATGCAAATTATTCACAAACAGTATTATCACTGCCTGGAACTATTCAACCTGGATTTTTTCTTTGTACTGGTAAATTACCACTTGTTTTTTCCTGTTGTAATAATGACTTTTCTGTTCTCTTCATTTATTAACAATTATATATATATATCGTCTCTATGGTGTAAAAGTCGATTACTGATGATTAGAGGCAATTAGGTGAAGACCCTGGTCATATATTGCAGGCTTATTGACACCTGTTAGGAAGGAGTTAGTACAACCTCTTCCCTTGAATACTTGAAGTGGCGTTATACAGTGAAAATGATACAGTTACTGATTTATTCAGGCTGTGACTGACTTCCTGTAGCATCGTAATAGACACATTGATTGGGGGCCAATGTCATAAGTGTAGTTCCTAGTGCAGACTGTGTTTTAATAATTACCCTCAACCATTTAAGATCAGTTCATAGTGTATTGACGCGGCAAGTAACTTGGCTTGACTGACTGGTTTCAACATAGAGTTTTGCAAAGATATGCAGCAGCTCGAGCGGCCAATCTCTCTCCATGTACCACACAGAACTAGAGAACACTGTAAATATAGGTTCAAAAGAGAGATAATAAACGGAAATGTGAGTTAGGGAAAAAGAACAGTAATATGGAATAACAATAGAGTTTTATTGAATATGAAAAACCACAAAGAGTGTGAATGCCTATACGCCACTGAGGAAGATTTCGAGCCATATCACCAATTGTCCCCAGACATCAGTTCTCACCATCCCGAGGACCCTAACCAGGAAGTCTACACCTCTCTACGTGACTGGTTAGCCTAAACTAATTGTTGTGGATTTCATTGAGTGAAGCCATGTTCTCGTTTGACCACCACTAGGTCCCTCTTTTCCAACCTGGTCAGTGCTATGTCAGCTAGCATTGCCCGTCGAGGTAAGCGATGGCTTGGCATGCGTAACATATGTCTTAATCATCTTAATCGATGTAACTCCACAACCTCATTGATTGATTTTCCCTCCTTACGAAGCACTCGACTGAAGGCTAACCTCAAAATAACTCACCACATTACACCTACCACCTAACATGGGGGATAGAACGCAGACATCTATGGTGAAAAACAGCTAGCCAGGCTTTTCATGTCTTCCAATTTCAATAGTCATATCTTTCAGCCACAGAAGGAGGACCGAGAGAACTGCTGGCTTAGTGACAATATTGGGAACTTGACTGGTGGTGAAACCCAGTCAATACTAAGGAACAGACGTATAATATTGAATATACTCCAAAGATCAGTCAATCTGAAGTTTATTATATACTAATAAGTAAAGAATTTATCTATTTTCTTTGTGTTATTGTCTCCCATACTAAAAATTTTAAAAAAAATGAGTCAAAGTGGAGGCAACGCAATTTAGAATAGGAAAAAAGCCTTCCTATGATTCGTTAGGAAATATTTTTGAAGAATTCTTAAGGTGAAATAAATCAGGAACAAAATTCGCATAGAAGATGTCCAGAAGGATAAGAAAAGCTTCACAGTCAAACCACCCAGCTCAGAGAATAATAATAATAACAGCTCTATTCCAAATAGTACTTTTGGTACAAATATGGAATTTTCAGCGTGTAATACAACATTGCGTCTAATTCCCTCATTACAGGGGCAATAATAAAAATAGGGCATTTACATTAATAATAATTTACATCAATAATGTTCAATAAGAAGTGAATATAGAATTAAATCAAGTGAAAATATTAGCGACAATGTAATAATGAGAACAAAAATCAATGCCGTTTACTTAGAACTCTTCAGTAAGTTGATAATTTCCTGTCTTTTCTCATCACATAAAATGCGTGCTGAATAAGGCATTGTAGAGTTTTGTACTCAGTCGTTCAAGCATACAGTCTACTATAGCTGCTTCTAGTTCTACCCATCTAATGAGATGCAAGGAGAGAGTTGTGTATGGAGAAAATTTTCAGAGTCTGACACGTTAATATATGCTAATTTCTTGCAGGAATCCAAGTGCGTTGGTTTAGTAACAACCCACTCGCCTTACTGACGGTTTTTAGTGCCCTGCGCAGTACAATGAAGTCTTTCTTAAGTAGCCCAGGGGGAACAGTAAAAAAGTATAGGCAGAATACAAGAATTGACAAACAGTAATATCAGAGACCGAATAATACCAGATCGTCTTAACTTCCTTACACAGAACGTCAAAGGAAATATCTTTCTGTAAACTATGATATGATATGGGAAGGCCAGGAAAAATCGTTGGAAAAACACGGTCCACGGTATTTAACATTCGATTTGGTCTAAACTTCAGTGCCATCTATGATAGTGGAACCGTGCCAACTAACCAGTTTACGCAAGTCGCACTTGTATCTGAAAGTGAAATTGACAACCTGACATTTGGAGGGATAAAGCTTAAAACCATTTGACGAGGACCACTGACTAATTTCTGTTAAGAACTTATTCATTTTAGTTCAGCTTGACTGAGAAGTAACGGGCGTAGAAACAGTCAGATCATCGCCACACTTAAAAAAATTGGCTTCGTCAGAATGCGGCAAGTCATGAAAAAGAAGGAAAATAGAGAAGGAGAAAGAAAATCTCCCTGAGGAACACCAGCTAGAGTAAGTGAAGCAGTGGAGGACCTCCCAATATAAACAGTGTACTGCTTCCTATCAGAAAAATACGAATGCCAACACATCGAAATCATCCATCCGTGTGGTATCTGCTACAGGCAAGATTTATAAAATGCAGACTGATAAGAAGCGGCCAAAATTGAAATCCACATTGTAAGTTAATGGCTGGCTGCGAATGTAGAAGTGTTTATTCCTCAAATCTGAATCTAGTTAACGGTATGGTTAAGAGATAATCTCACTGAACAACTTTTCATCTCATTGTTTAACTTTGGGCCAACCAATCACAACAGTTTATTGTCCACTGACTTAGCCGACTTTTAATGTGTTTTAATTGGGGGGATCGTGACTAGCAGAAGAATCCAGGATGCGCGTTTCGTCCCATTTGGAATTCGTCATCTGGATGTACCTGCATTCCCCAGTGGGAGATGATGTTCCCACTGAAGCTCAATTAAATAATTATTATGACCCGTTGCACAAGAGGTGGTTCCCGTGGTCCAAGGGGTCTAGTGGATAATGCTTTAGCGTCTGAAACTATGGGCACTGGGTTCGAGCCTCGGTGACAACATCATCACTCACTAGGTAATGCAGGTACATCCAGATGACGAGTCCCAAATAGGATGAAATGCGCATAATGAATTCCACTGCTAGTCACCATCCACCAATTAAATTCCAATTACATGCCCAGGCATCGTCGAAGCATCTGCACAAGGAGCCGACATGTCAACCTGAGACCGATCACTTCAGTCCAATCAATCGACGGGAAAATCTATCATTCGATTGGACTTTTAATGTGGTTAAAAATGTAAAGTATGATGGAATTTTTTTCATTAATAAAACAGTCTGTCTAGAATTCTCTGGTCTACCGTCGTTGCCTTTGAGCCACAAATCTTCTTAATGATATAGTGATAATTACAGCTTTATTTTGGAAAAAATCGCTACACAGTGTATAGAATTCCCAGAGTAATTTATTGCATAGTAATTTCTCCTCATCTAGGATCTTCAAGAAAAGTAGTAATGTATAATATACCGCAGGACGCAGTACTGTTCGATTTGAAGCAAAGACTGATCCCTTATGATATTTTACCATCATCTCCGAGAAATGTGCACCATCAGTTTGAAAGCCGCTTAAAAATGTACTTATGTACATTTTGCGATTCAAAGACATAATTGAGTAGCTAAAACAATAAGACTTCGATAAAATATGATGCATAGTGTATGAGATCGAAATTGAGACAGTCCATTGATTCAAGCAGACCTCCATTTCAGTTATTTCAACCTTCATGTACAGTTAGACTTATGTCAGTAAAATAGCGTATTCATTAAAAAAGCAGTAGTGCTAAGGCTAAATTATCAAGTTGCTTATAAATCAAGTAATGACTCCACTTGTATAAAGAAAGGGATTCAAATTGAAATTATTCTTTGAATTTGTTTTTGAGTACCGTTTTGAAACCTGCTTATCAGCAAACCATATCTATCAACTTGAAGCGAATTAATGTATCAAGTTCCCTCTCTTTTATATTCCTTTGCGTTCCGAGTGGAACATACGGCTTCAAGCCTGGGCTTTGAAGTTTCTGTAGCAATGGGGTTCTTTTAACGAGGTAGGGTGCTAGTCTCACGGCAAGCCTCCCCTCTTTACCATATTTACTTTTGGCTTAGACAGATTCAGGAGTGAGTCGGCTGGGAATCGAACCCCAGACCATATCCGTGGCTAGTGAGCATTCTACTACTGAACCACTGACGTAAAGTTCCCTCTAAGATATAGTATTTCTTCAACCAGTGAGTGTTCACGGTACTTCTTTTCAAGTTGGTTAAATATTTTAGCCATTCACTTGACTAAATGATGAGACACAGAATTCACCATTAATAATTATGTGGTACATTTTTGACAGATTATAAAATAAAGGCAAACAGCTTCATATTTTCCCAGTATTGAAGAAAGTAAATCTATCACTCACCTTTTTTCAATAACAGACTCTTTGTGTATTTCATCAGAGAAATTGCTAGTGGTACATCTTACCTGTTTTAAGTACATTAAACGGATGATTAAGCACTAACATCTATCGTTCAGTGGTAGAATACTTGCGAACCACCCACATGACCCGGGGTTCGACTACCCGCCAATGCACTTCTCAACCTAGCTTAGCTGGTAAGTAAACAAGGTAAACAGGAAAGGTTGTTTGCAAGACTAACAACTCCCCCCCCCCCGTAAAAACAACACCAGCCTTACTGAAACTTCAAACCTGAAGCACAAAATATCTTTGTAACAGTTAAATTGTTTATAATATACAAACAATAAAGTATTCTACTATTTTTCTTCACAAAAGACACCTGATAGTTGTGTAAAAGAAATATAGTATTAATCAAAAATATCATTGTCCTAATGTATGGTTGCGAAATGTAATCATTAGACGTGAACAAACTATGTGCTAATAATACCAGTATTTTATCAAGTCTTTACATTAACACTGTGTTAAATTCAGGCACAAGCCAAAGAATTTTCGTCTATATCTATCTGTTGAGATGGCTAGAACCTTTGTTACGCGTGACTACCCACCGTCTATTTCAACATTTTATGTTAACGGGATTTGGATTGATTTGAAAGGAAATGAAGGATAATCCGAGTAAGAAATGACAACACCAATTGATATGAGTAGTTTACAAGCGTCACCAAACGAAGCTGTAGCAAAACCGATCCAGATGTTTATATATAAACATAATAATGTGGTGAGAGCTGTCCGCAAGCCAAAATTGTAGACAACAGTTTACGTCAATGTTTACATCCCGAATCGGGGTCATGAGAAGAAAAAAACAACAAAGCTTAACCTTGAGGAAATCACCAACTAATCACAGCAGACTTAACGTTTGCAAATGAGGTTCGCAGATATATGGCTTAACTTTCTGAGAAACGGTCACAGGCAGTACAGAATATCCTTCAGGAGGAAAACTATCAATCAGAAGACGATGACTCTCCACTGACAATAATGTACATAAAAATCTATAAATATCTTTTGATGTTCTCAATAAAGCATCTGTTGCTTGACCCTTGTCTTCTGTCGTTACAATAATACTAACAACATATCTAATTTCAGACACTAGACATAAAACAATCTGCTGATTGAATTTGTACTCACAATGTACTTATATGTATTTGTTTTACTTTGCTTTCATTTTGCTATTCATATGCCATCTATTGTTTTTTTTCTCCACTGTAGGTGCATTTGTCAGTCCACTTATTCGTATGTTTGGATTTCGTATTAGTGGATGTTTTGGAGCATTTCTACTTGGTTTTGGTATGTCTGTAGCAAGTTATCTAAACAATATACACGCGTTTACAATATTTTATGGAATTATATCAGGTCAGTTTTTCCACTCTATCCCGTTCTATTCTATTCTTTCTGTTGTTGTTTTTTTGTTGTCAAATCACTTGAGTATATTGTATTCCTATACGCAATTTTATGTAAATTTTGCCACCCTAGATACAGATCGTGTTTACAAGAGATGAGAAAATATCTCAGGATGAGTCTTTCTCTTATTCTAGTCTAGATAGATAGACATCTAATTTGTCAAAAATAAGCATCAGTTGTCGTCTAATACAACAAAACGTTTTCATACTGTAGGTATTTTTTTATCACTTATTATTCCTTATTAGTTTAATTGTAGGGAACCAAATTTTGTCTCCAGACCACGATAGAACAAGATATTTGATTAAACCTTTTCTGTACACAGGATTCAGGGTTGTATTGATGAATTGCTAGAGCCTCCAGCACAAAAACACACCCAAATGTGTTATATATGGTGGAGGCACTAGTGAACTCTGTGTACAGTAAAGATTCCTCCAGTTTTGATTGGACACTAGTAACTAGTGTGACGTTTCTAGTCCTTTCTTTGGCGCAGACTGAATTCTATCAGTCAGTCAAGTTTGCAATGTGGCCACCATTCTAGGTAGCTCACCATCACGGTTGCAGATACGCCTTTCTGACTGGTGAGTGCCAACTAGCACGAAACCTAGGTCAGGCAAGACTTCCTGTGGTCGATTGCCTCCAACTATCTAATATCATTCCTCCAGTTTGTTATTCTATCATAGTCTCAAACCCTTTTTCTAGCTGTCTGATTCTATTTTTACTAGGTAATTTCACTATTACCAATGTTATACGTCCTATTTTGGGAATTTTGTCTTCATTAACTGTCACTAGGCGAAATGTTTATTTGGAATAAACTATAGTATGAAAATAATACACTTTAACCTGAATTATATATAATGTGTATGTTGACACTCTGATAGAGCGATCATCGTCACTGTCGTCATTACTTTGGCGACTAATTTAGACTATTTGTTGAGTCTGAGTTTGTTCACTGATCTTCTTCTCCCTCTCTGACAATCTCCTTCCATCATTAGTTTTGTCTAATTTTGAAGCTTGGATGGTATGAACTGATTTGTCCTTCTGAAATAAGTCATTGGAGGTACAGAGCCGATGAGATCAGCCTAAAACAAACAATTGAAACAACCGTTCACTATCTAGATAACTTCGATTAGGCTAGCAAGGACTACTGTTTGATTTGAGTGGTCTCCAACTACTCATATCACTTAATCAGTAGTATATACAATCGAGTTACATGGTTTATTGATTTCTGTCACCTATTTTTTAAGTACTAATGTTAAATATGGTAACCTAAAATTCATGGGCTGGTCATTGGATCGGGTCCCTGTGGCTTAATGGTCTACGAGCTCGCTCACCTTGTAACCAGAAGGTCCTGGGTTCGAACCCAGTTGGGGTGGGTGCGTAATGCTGAAGAGTCCCAAACTAGGACTACACTGCTGTCCAGTACTCTCTGCAGGTTTTCCCAGTGGTTCCCTAACCGATGTCAGCTCATGATTAAATCCTGTTACTGATCAGTCAATTCCCTAAAATCCAGTACTTGAATACCATACCATTAGACTGACTTAACCCGTTAATTCAGGAAGATATATAACTATATGAATACAATCATTAGCTGTTAAAATCAGTATGCAGGTGTTCGGCACTAAGCACAAGAAACAGCCTCTGAATTTTCAACACTAATGTCGAGCCAATGCATCAGATGCTTGGCACGTGCATCACAAATAGCTTTTGAAGACTTTTATCAACAGCAGTTTTCTCTGACTTGATACTGAAAATCATATAGCCGGTCAGCAAGAATAAGAAAAACGGACTGTGGCAATGAACTGACCAAGAACCTATCGCCCAATAAATAAGAAGGAAATAGGGGTAAACTGAATATACACTCAGGAGATATTTCAGTGACATCATATTCTAGTTAGACCTTCTAGTGGAAGATGAATCGGAAGCGATGGATCGGACATATCAGGATGCCATAAAGAATATTATGTGATGAAGAAATGAACGTTTGTGAAACTAGCTGAAAGTGATGATAGGGAACTGATTGAGATGGATATGTACTGCTGAACCCTCTTATTCCACTCGGAATCCAAAAGCAGTATAAAGAGGGGTAGTAGTGTAACAACAGAAGAAAAGGGCCAGGCAACAGATCGTTTATTAAGGAAAATCAACACATATTTATAGATTTTAATGTACATTATTTCAGATTATTGTTAATAGAAAATACAGTCTTTTGATTGGTTGTTTCCCACAGAAAGTTAACCTTGCATCTCTTTGTGGCTGTGTCAGATCATCCATATGCTAACTGTATCCGCCTACGCAAAGCCTTTGTTCTCATTTTCTCACCACCAATATTGGGGACATAGACATTGACGTCAATTACTGTCTACCAACTTTGGCTAGCAGCCAGCTCTCACCACAGTAGTAGTAGTAGTATTTTCTTTTGCCTCCTGTTTTTGCCTACTCCAGTACTAAAGTTCAATCACAATGAGATAATTCGAAGCAAGGAAAATATTCGCCAAACTTGCCTGGGAAAAGGAGTTTACGATAAATATCTGGAAATGTTATTTGGAGTAGTTCTGCACACATTATGAAGCCTGGTCTCTAAATAATCTAAGGGATAGGTTTCTTTTTAGTTTGATAGATCAACACAAACGACATACTAGTTGTTCCCTATGTAAACCTATTTTGACTTTCAATAGTTTGAATCAGTTAAATGATAACGTAGTTGTACAGAATTAATATTTAAAGCAAACCATATATATATACATATACAACTCTTTAAAAAAAAAACATTATGCAGACAAGTTTACGTAAAAAGTAGCGGCCGGTATTGTCATTGAAGCTTGAACACACCACTGTTCACTTCAAAAGCCAGAATGTGATGAAAACATAACCGTGGCAAATGAAGACTTATACAAACTACCTGCTGTCACAATCACAAGTCACTGACATTGGTGACTATGTAGCGAAATATATATATATATATATATATATATACAATTGAACAAATATTTAATATTAGAAAAGATGACATTTATTTCCCTTAAGTGCGATAAGCTAGTCTCTTGACAGCTCAGTCCATTTTTAGATTGTATTTTAGTTACTGATGAAACGTAACAAACGGTTATTTGTTTTTTAAATTTTATTCTTCTACATTACCAGTGTGCGTTGGTGGCACAACGGTAGAATGCTCGCCAACCACACCCCATGTGGTCCGGGGTTCGATCCCCGGCTGGCGAACTCCTTTACTTCGCTAAGCCAGTAATGAAACTGGTAAAAAAGGAAGGCTGGGGCTAGCCACCCCATCCCGTAAAAATAAATACCACTGTTACCGAAACTTCAAGTCCCTAGCTTGAAGCCCTATGATCCACTGGGAAAGTAAAGGAATAAAAAAAATACATTCCCAGTGGAACATAAGGTTTTAAGCATGAGCTTTGAAGAAGCTTCAGTGGCAGTGGTGTTTATTTTTCACGGGGCTGGGGTTGCTAGCCTCTTGTCCAACCTTCCCTCCTTACCATGCTCGCCACCGGCTAAGCGAAGTTTCGGAGTTCGTTGGTAGGGTATCTAACCCCGGACCACGTGAGGCGTGGTTTGCGACTATTTTACCAGCAAACCACTGACGCACAGTAACAGACAATCAGCTCTACAAATCTGCTTGATAGATTATGGTTTACCATACGTTTTAACTGTCTAATCTTGATTTGATTCAGATGAATTCTTTTATATGACTGAATGGGGATTTTCAAGTAACTTAAAGCCTTTAATTATTAACACTGATCACAAGATAAAGATTCACTGTGAAAAGGAAGTGTATGGAACTAATTAAATTAGTGATTACTGCAAGATATATCGCCTTTTTGTGTTTGCGTGTGTGTATGTGTGTTACTTTGGAGACAAAACTGACACAAATAGATAGACAATGACGTAAGAATCATTTTTCATCTATGGAAGTGAAGAAAAACCTATCGAATGAATGGAAGATTGATTTATAGCTTAGTGGGATAAAAGTATCTCATAAATCAGTCAACGAAAATGACAGAAAAAACCCCAACTAACTACTTATAATTATTACTGTAACTACCAATAGCTTAAATTATTTATTCATTATTGTATTTTCCCATGGGAATATCTGTGTCGAGTACTGATCAGCTTTATTTTGATTTATTGGCTGGAATGAATGGATGCCTCAACATCACAAAGATTAGGAATTGAAATTACTTGCTTTGCTGGTGGTTAGTACAGAGAGCAAGGACAAACGTTTCGTCTTACTCTTGACTCGTCATCTAAATGTACTTGGATACCTAGTGAGTGTTGTTGTCCCCACTGAAACTTGAGGCCTTTACGCATCTCTTGAAACGTCAAAGCTTTAACCACTTGGTCACTTGGCTACAATAGTCACATTTAGTTCAACAGCTATGATTCGGAATAAGGTAATAAGTCTGGTAATATCGAGTCATTCAGTCAAGGAGCTTATATACCAAAGTCACATCAATGAATTCGATCAGATATGTCAACGGGAAGTTACAAACGTGAATAGATAATTTTACATCTTGCCGGTTGAACATGAGGTGGCTATCGTGGCCAGTGGCCTCCTGGACAACACTCTGGCGTTTGAAGCGATGACTGCTGCGTTCAATTCTCATTGGGAACATCATTACCATTCACTAGAGATGACAGTATGTTCAAATGGCCAGCAACAAGTAGTAAGAAGTGTGCATCCTGCATTCTACTGCTAACTATAATCAAACAAGTTAATTCTAGTTACTAACCGCTTTTCTGTTTTGTTTTTTTCATCTATCCCCGAATGAGAGATACATCATTCAAGTCTGTCTGTATTTCAGTGAAGGATTGTGTTCTGAATAAGACTCAGACTCAGCGTAAATGCATAAAAATCTGTCATATTGATTGATTGGGACGAGTAGTTGAATACTACTCGCGTCAACTAGTAGTACTCCCAAGCCAGGTAGAAGTAATTT